TCCGCCTTCCTGCCTCTTCCTGCCCTTGCTTTCTCAGCGCCCTGCCGACACCACTGTTGGTCACCTGGAATGTTCTGTGCCGCCCCCTGGTGGTCAGTGTATGCCATAGTGAGCGAATGAACTTCTGGTTTCCCACCTGGTCAAACTCCCAAGGGGACACTTTGTATATTAGCCATACATATATATATTGTATATTAGCCATACATATATACATTGAGAGAGAGAGAGAGAGAGAGAGAGAGAGAGAGAGAGAGAGAGAAACTGACTAGAGGCTTGGTGCATGAAATTCATGCACTGGGGGAGGGGTGTTCCTCAGCCCAACCTGCACCCTCTCCAACCTGGGACCCCTCGGGGGATGTCTGACTGCCAGCAGTTGCACATTCCTCTCATAATCCGGGACGGATGGCTTCCAACCACTCACCTGCCTGCCTGCCTGCCTGATTGCCCCTAACCACTCCCCGGCAAGCCTGACTGATGCCTGACTGCTCTGCTGCTGGCCCAATTGCCCCCAACTGCCCTTCCCTGCTGACCCAGTCACCCCCAACTGCCCTCCCCTGCCAACCTGGTCTCCCCTAACTTCCCTCCTCTGCTGGCCATTTTGTGACCACATGGGGGCGGCCATCTTGTACAAAGGTGTGATGGTCAATTTGCATATTACCTCTTTATTATATAGGATAGTATCTTTTGAGGAGCAAAGCTTTTCATTTTTAATATATTTTATTGATTTTTTACAGAGAGGAAGGGAGAGAGATAGAGAAGTAGAAATGTCAATGAGAGAGAAACATCAACCAACTGCCTCTTGCACAACCCCCACCGGGGATGTGCCCGCAACCAATGTACATGCCTTTGACCGGAATCGAACCCGGGACCTTTCAGTCCGCAGACCGACGCTCTACTGCTGAGCCAAACCAGTTTTGGCAGCTTTTTGATTTTAATTAAATGCAGTTTATCAGTTATTAAGTGGTTTGTATCTTAGCTAAGATATATTTGCCTAATCCAAGATTACAAAAATTTTCTCCTATGTTTTTTTCTAGAAGTTTTATAGATAAGTTTAGTCATATAAGTGATGATGTATATTATATTCTATATAAATATAAGAAATTATCCACTATAAATTAAATAAGTATACCTACTATACTATTACATGTTGGTCTCTAGTTTTGTTTTGTTTTGTTTTTATAATACCTTCATTTGGTTCTGATATCAGGGTAATGGTTGCATCATAATATAAGTTGTTGGTCTACTTATGAGCATGTAAAAGGTATTGATATCTGTTACCACTGATCTGATATCATGTATTATTTCTAGTTCTTCCATTTGTTTTCTGCTGAAATTCTTCATCTGCCATTGTGTATTGTTTTACACTAGATGTTTTAATATTTTATTTATGCTTTATTATTTTTTTAAATATATTTTATTGATTTTTCACAGAAAGGAAGGGAGAGGAATAGAGAATTGGAAACATTGATGAGAGAGAAACATTGATCAGCTGCCTCTTGCACACCCCCTATTGGGGATGTGCCCACAACCAAGTTACATGCCCTTGACCAGAATCGAACCTGGGACCATTCGATCCACAGGCCAATGCTCTATCCACTAATAGAGCCAAACTAGTTAAGGCTGCTTTTATTATTGTAGATTTGACTTATTAGAATGGGACAACATTCTCTTGTGACTTTTTTATCCTAAAATGAGGTATTTTATTAATATAAATTTATCTTTAGGTTTATATTTGCCATATACTAATGAAGCCAGTAAGACTGCTTGGATTAACCAAAAAAAATGTAGTTAGGTGAATGTATAACTGTTACAAGCTTAATTCATCTTCAGCATACTGAAACTAGACAACCAGTGGGTCCAGACTGCCTGTCACCAATTAAGCAGAGACAGGGTTAAGTCATATATAAGCTTTTATTTCATTAATGCCAGCAGTATGGTAGAGCAGCAGATAATCCATGAAAATTTGCTCTACCCTTCTCCACAGCCAGCTGCTTATATTGAGCAAAAGGACAAAGATTACATGCAAGAGTAGGGATTACAGGCATGGGGAAATAGGCAACATATAATGTTACAGGTTACAGGCAATGCGGGCTGGTGGGGAGGGAGTCACAAAGGGCTAGTGTCTCAGGACCAGATTGTTTTAGCAACAAGGTTGTTAATCTTTCCTTGATGATTGGCAGTTCTCAGAAAAGGAGAATGGACTGCATTCCAGTGTTAACTCCCATGTCCCAGGGCATACAACTCTCAGCCAGGTTAAAATGTGCCTTCTCTAATCAGAACAGAACCATCATAGTTAACAGAGCATGATTAATATTTCTTATAATTAAAACTAGAGGTCCAGTGCACAAATTTGTGCATGGGTGAGGTCCAGCTGGCCAGGTACCAATGGGCATATCAGGGCTGGGCCTGTCAGGTAGAGGAGATGATGGAGGTTGGCCAGCTGGCCCACCCTGCTTGGGACCCAATCAGGGTCAGGCCGGCTGGGGGAAGGCTGCAGGCTGTGGGCTGGCTGGCCCTGCCCCGAAAGCCATGGGAGGTTGGCCAACCATTCTCACCCCTGACTGGTGTTGTGGGGAGGGATGATCAGGGGCGGAGCTGGTTGGGGGGAGGGACTGTGGGCCAATTGGGGTGGTGAGAGCTGATCAGGGGTGGGGTCAGCCACGGAATGGGCTGTGAGTGGTGGGCTGGCTGGCTGTACCCCAAATGGGGTGGGGGTGGGGGGCGATCAGGGGCCAGCAGCCTGGGGGAGGGGCCATGGGTGGTTGGCTGGCTGGCCCCGTCACCTATTGGGGTAGGGGCGGCAATCGGGTGTGGGGCTGGCCTGAGGGAGGATTTTTTATATCTAAATCCAGCGTACCACCAGGAATGCTCAGGGCCTACTCAAGAAGGCAAATAATCCTTTCCACTAATATTTACAGGGTAAAATAAAATTGTTGTTTAAGTATTAAATTTGACAGTAAAATAGTAGTCAAGTTTTCAGGCTAATTTAAATTGGCTAATTGAAATAAGCAAATATTCTAGAATAATTAATTGTACTGGACAAAAAGCAGTTCCTCAAGTGTTAACTAAAATTTTTATTGGTAGTTCATCTCATGATAAAATTGCATAACATGTAATGAAAAGCATTCTCAGACATTCTTGAGTTTCTGGTTACCTCACAATTTCTTCCCTGAGGTTTGACGTTCTGACTGATGTTTCTTTCTTTGTCTCTGAATCTATTTTTCCCCCCAATCAGTTTATGTTCTTCATTATATTCCACAAATGAGTGAGATAATGTGATATTTTCTCTGCCTGGCTTATTTCACTTAGCATAATGTTCTCCATCTTCATTCATGTTGTTGCAAATGGTAAGAGCTCCTTCTTGTTTACCGCAGCATAGTATTCCATGGTGTAGATGTACCACAGTTTTTTAATCCACTCCATCTGCTGATGTGCACTTAGGCTGTTTCCAAATCTTAGCTATGGTGAATTATGCTGCTATGAACATAGGGGTGAATATATCCTTTCTGATTGATGTTTTTAGTTTTGGGGGATATATTCCTAGAAGTGGGGTCACTGGGTCAAATGGGATTTCCATTTTTAGTTTTTTGAGGAAACTCCATACTGTTCTCCACAGGGCTGCCCAGTCTGCATTGCCATCAGCAGTGCCCGAGGGTTCCTTTCTCTCTGCATCTTCGCATCTTCGCCAGCACTTGTCATTTGTTGACTTGTTGATAATAGGTGTGAGATGATACTGCATTGTTGTTTTGCTTTGCATCTCTCTGATGATTAGTGACTTTGAGCAGGTTTTCATATGTCTCTTGGACTTCCTTCTGTCTTCTTTCAAAAAGTGTATATTTAGAATATGTTGCCCATTTTTTGATTGGGTTGTTTATTTTTTTGTTAAGCTGCATGAGTATCCTATAAATGTTGGAGATTAAACCCTTATCGTTGATATCATTGGCAAATATGTTCTCCCATGCATTGTTGTTTTATTGATGGTTTCCTTTGCTGTACAAAAGCTTTTTATTTTGAGATAGTCCCATTTGTTTATTTTCTCTTTAGTTTCATTGTCCTAGGAGCAGTATCAGTGAAGAAATTGTTTTGGCATATGTCAGATATTTTTCTGCCTATAGATTCTTCTAGTATTTTTATGGTTTCCCATCTTCTGTTTAAGTCCTTGATCCATTTTGAGTTTATTTTTGTGTATGGTGTAAATTGGTGGTTTAGTTTGATTTTTTTGCATATATCTGTTCAATTTTCCAAACACCATTTATTGAAGAGACTGTCTTGACTTCATTGTATGTTCATGCCTTCTTTGTCAAATATTAATTGAGCATAGCGATTTGGATGGATTTCTCACTGTTTTGAGAACAGTGGCTTTGTAATATAGCTTGATATCTGGTATTGAGATCCCTCCTACTTTGTTCTTTTTTCTCAGGATTGCTGTAGCTTTTCGGTATCTTTTTTTATTCAGATGAAATTTTGGAAAGTTTGTTTTAGGTCTTTGAAATATGACGTTGGTATTTTAATGGGAAATGCTTTGAATTTATAGATTGCTTTGGGTAGTATAGACATTTTGATGATGTTGATTCTACCGATCTATGAACATGGTATGTTCTTTCATCTGTTTATGTCTTCCTCTATCTCTTTTTTCAGTATTGTGTATTAAATGTTATTTTTAAAGTAATAAGTTGGTCACTTCTTTTAATCATTCTCTTAGGCCACGAAGAAATATTAAATGATAATATAGAATTGATATGGTAGTGACTGAAAATGAATGATATGCATTATTTACTGTGAGGAAATGAAAGAACAAGTGGGAATTTTAGAACCTCTTGGTACTTATTATCTTACTTGTCATCATGGATTAAGAATAAGTTTAGGAATAAATTAAGTTTAGGAATAAAGTAATAAATACTCTGAGCTGTTAGTCATTTCATTAGAAAGCTTTCTTTTCTTTAAAAGTTTTAAAGTTCTTGATAGACACCCCCCCAAATCAATCATTTTATTAATTTCAGTGAAGAAATTAAAGTTCAACCAAGTCAGTTCAGAGAATCAGTAGAACCAAATGGAAGGATTTATGAGGAACAGAGAAAGTTAGAAGAAAGTTTTACCATTCACTTAGGTAAGTATATTAATTTTTTCCAGTCATAATTTATTATAAGCTCTGAAGCTTTTAGTATGCTATAAGAAAAATTCCTAGCATATGAGTAAAACATACTATGTTAGTTTTAATACTTATCTTATTCCAAAAAAAGCTTACAGATTTTTGGCTCTAAGTTTTAGTTTATATGTTATTTTTTGCAAATAGAAAGATTCAATATTACTAGTTATAAAATGAGAAATTGCAAAGCCTGTTTTCAGTAATTTGTAGCACAGATTTATCTGGATGCTTGTCATAGAATTTGCTGCTAAGTATCTTTCTGGGATTGTTGCCTATATCCCCTAGGTGCTCAGTTGAAGACCATGCATAATTTGAGATTGCTGAGAGCAGACATGCTGGATTTCTGTAAGCACAAAAGAAATCATCGAAGTGGTGTGAAACTCCATCGACTCCAGACAGCTCTGTCACTTTATTCCACATCACTCTGTGGCCTGGTTTTACTAGTAGATAATAGAATTAATTCATATAGTGGTATTAAAAGAGGTAAGTTAACATTATACATATTTATTTCATTAAGTTTATTTTTTAAATACCATTCTCACAAAGAAAGAAATTAAATTATGAAAAAGTTGAAAAAATTTTTTAGTTATCCCAGTGTTCAGGTAGACCAAATAACAACCTACCAGGCCACAGCTATTTTAGATTTGTTTTAAGCTTTAATATGGGCATGGTGCTTTAGAATATTTAATTTTTCTTAAAATTGCATTATATTGTAAACAATGCTCTTATGGTTCCTTGTTCCAAGGTACAACAAAAAGAATAATCAAGATATAAATGTAGCCCTATCTGGTTTGGCTCAGTGGCTAGAGCATCCTGGGTTCAATTCCGCTCAAGGGCACATGCCCTGGTTGCAAGCTCCATCCCCAATGGGGGTTGTGCAGAAGTCAGCCAATCAGTGATTCTCTCCCATTATTGATGTTTCTATCTCTCTGTCCCCCTTTCCTCTCTGAAATAAATAAAAATATATTTTAAAAAACAAAACAGCAATAGCTTTAAAAAAACAAAAAAAACAACTAACAGTATAAATGTAGTTTCAATTTAGAAACAGATCCTGGCTTTAGTGATTTTTAACTTATCCATTTGTACCTTTTTGTTTTTTTAAATAATCTATTTCTTAAATGTGCTAGGTAAAATGTATATCTTCCCTCAGAATACAACTCATTTTTTATGATTACTTTTAAAATTTCAATACATAAGCTGTTTTAAAATATATAACTTTTTAAAAGAAGCTTGAATAGAGTCTATTTGTGACTGGATTATGGTCAAAGTATCTATTGTTTAAAGAAGGTTTGGAATCACCTTAAAATTTTCTTGTCCGTTGTTTACTCTTTTGAGTGATTAAGAGATTGTTTCTGATAAAAACAAAATTGCTGTACTTTAACTTCATAAGACATAATTGTTGAAAGGACAAGTATAAGAAATCATACTTGTGAATTTTATATTTTATTTAATCAGACCTCCTTATCTATAAGTAAATACTAAATATTGATAGTTCACCTTTAAAGTATATACATGTTTTGGGTTCCTTAGATTTTGCCACAGTTTGCCAAGAGTGCACTGATTTTCATTTTCCTCGAATTGAAGAACAACTGGAAGTTGTCCAGCAGGTGGTACTTTATGCTAGAACCCAGCGCAGGAGTAAGTTGAAAGAATCACATGGTCAGTGAAACTCAAATTTTTAAAAATTTCACTCTTATAATGATATTTCCCTACACACTCTAATAGCATATGGGCCATAATTGAAATACAGAAAGAGGTAGAAGAAAGAAATTTAGAACAAAATTCAAGATCTTTAGGAGCTTAGATTCTGTTCTTAATTCCCTTTTTAGCATGATTTTGTACAAGATCCTTAGCTGGTGCATCAGGCCTCTTGTAAGTATTAATCCTAATATATAGAAAGCCAGGGGCTGTCATAACCGAAACCACCGGATGAATGACCAAACACAGGCTGCGTGGGGCAGCCAGGCTGGCAGGGGGGTTAGTGAGGGAAGACCAAACAACTGAATAGCCAGGTTGAGTACTAGGAAATTGGTTATGGAAGCATATCCTAACTGGGAACATTTGGAAAATTTCAATGTGCCCTCTTATTTATCTACCATCTTCCTCCATCTCTTTCAAAACTAGAAATGATGTGATCACTAACATTTTAATATTATTCTTAGTAGTAACTAAAACATGAAAATTGAGATCATGACAGGTGTGGCAGAAGGAGGATTCTAAGTATATTTGTGAGAGATAGCAAGTGTGCAGTAAATGACAGGAAGTTTTTAAACCACATACGCTTAAGGCAATGTGTGTACATCATGGTACTATTTTGTTTTTGTTCAAGCAACTATTTTGTGGTTTAAGTGAGTCAGTGAAACAAGTAGGTTTGCAAAAGACAACTTTCTTAAAGGAACTAGCATATTGTTACAGAACAGTTTTTTTTTTTTTTAATATTTTCTCTGTCTTTTCCTTTTCTGTACATGCCCACATTATTTGTTCTACACATTTATATTCTGATATACAAGTACCTTTTATTCTAAGACATTCCATTGTTTTCTTTACTGTGTTTATTATATTATCATCTTTATATTCACACAAAAACAATGTTTTTTGTACATATTTTATATGCATTTAAAAAAATTTAAAATGGCCATTTTCTTAGTAAACATGGAAAGGGAGCCTTGGTCGGTGTGGCTTAGTTGGTTGGAGCGTTTACCCGTACACCAAATAAATGGTCATGGCTTCAATTCTTGGTCAGGGCTCAAACAGCCCCAATTGATTGCAAGTTCAGCCCCAATTGGGGCATGTATGGGAGGCAACCAGTGAATGTTTCTCTCTCACATTATATTCTCTCTCTCTTTCTCTCCCTCTCTCTCTCTAAGAAAAAAAAAAGCATGGAAAGGAAAATGGAATATGAACTATTCTCTTTTGTTTACTGAATAGGAATTCTGTTTGCTCATACCTTATGTGAGCAAGATTAGAGTCCTTAATTATTGTTTTTGTTTTGTTTTGTTTTCTGTGCTATGATCAGATATGTATTCAGAGCCTATCAATTACATGGCTCTGAATGAGAAACTGACTATTAACATTAAATAATGGATTCTGGCAACACAGAACCTTTCTTCTCTTTGTGCCTCTCTCTCCCTCTGTCCATTCATAAAATATGTGTTTACAATTATAAATCAATTCATTAAAGTAGTTCCTAGGTAAAAATATTTAGTTATTTTTATTCAGCACTTTCTTGAAACCATAATATTCCCTTGGTATGTGCAGTTCATTTATTTGAAGTTCTGACTCTATTCAGGTGATTTTCTGATGCCGAAAGCCATTCCAAATAGTTTTGTATTTAATTGGAATCAATATACGTCTTCTTAAAAAGTGCTACTTTAAATGCTAATATTTATTCTGCATTTTATTGATTTCTGATAGAGTTCTTATAAAATTCATATGTATCTTTTATTAAAAATATGTGTATATGTAAAATAACTCATATATAACCATAATAATGTGTGGTCAATTGTGATGTATCTCATTTTTCTAACATGTATCCTTTTAAGTAATATCATGCCTTCTACAAAGAATAGCTATTGACTACCTGAAAAAAAATGCTCCATTTGAAACAGAAACTTACATATCTGTTTGAAGTAAATTGTATATAATGTCAAATTATAAGTAACAAAGTGATTCCTGGTGCTGCTAACCATTTGTTTATAATTCTGAACAAGTTATATAAAAAACAGTGACTCAGATTCTAAAAATAAAAATGGCCACATGACAACTATCTAATGAAGTTATTTTATGTGTTGTTAACTTAGTGCTTTCAACCTCTCAGAAAAATAGGGTATTGGCAAATCTAATGTGGTTAACATCAGAGGATTTGGGATCTGTGTATGTAGGTTCAATTCTGGTTACACCACTTACCTGCACATTCTTGGATAAGTTAGTTAACCTATGAAGTCTCTGTTTCCTCACATATAAATGAAGTACTAAAAGTACTTAACTCATAACGTTGTTATTGACATTTTTTAAAAATTAAATGAGACCATCCATGTAAAGCAGTAGTGGGGAACTTTATTTCTGCCAAGGTTCCATTGGGTATTTATAACATCATTCATGGGCCATACAAAATTATCAGCTTAAAAATTAGCCTGATCTATTTGGTTAAACATTTAATTAACTCACCCCTAATGCCTTAGCAGGGCCAGACCAAATGATTTTGTGGGCCTTATGTGGCCTGTGGGCTAGACGTTCCCCATTCCTTATGTAAAGCATGCTTCAGAATGCCTGGCACCTAGAGGTTCCTAATAAATGTTTGCTGTCATGATTGCTTGAGGAATAGTAGTAGTAATGTGTTTTTATATGTTGTGATAGTCTTTCATGTTCCATTATTTTATTAATAGATTCTGGAAACCGAAATGGAGGAAGTGAAGATAAGTCTAAAAATGCTGATAGAAACTATTTAAATATTTTACCTGGTAAGTATTATTTCAAATTGCAATTTTCTTAGCATATTAGTGACCTGGTGCACAAATTCATGCACATTAAAAGAGAATTAATTAGAGGAAATATTTTAATATTGCTATTTGCCCTTTCTCTGTAATAGAAGTGTCAGAGATGAAAGAAAATAGCAAAATTATATGAAAATCTTCCTCCTGTCAGAGTCTGGGGTGCACCACAGGAACCAGAATCAAGTCCCCACCCACCTACATGTGCCTCAAAATCACACAAGACCCTTACCCGGCTGGCCCCACCGCCATTGGCCAACATACAGACCCAGCCAGCCCCACCCCCGTCAAGCCCCGCCGGGTGGGAGGTATTGCCTCAGGTTGCCTGGCCCTGCATGAGGTCCCCTGTCAAGCCCCACTGGGCGGGTGGTGCAGCCTCAGGTCCCTTCTGATTGCTCGTTAAGGCTCTTAACGGGAATTCAGCCTCCTCTGTGGACGCAGCCATCTTGTGTTACAGAATCACTGCTTTAGCTTTGGGTGCAGCCATTTTGTTACAGTGTGATGGTCAATTTGCATATCCCCTCTTTATTAAATAGGAAACATTGAAATCAGATTTGACACATTAGTTTTTATGGCATACTTCATAAAAAGTTTGTCAGTGTATCACTTTAAAACAGCATCATATCTATATAGTATACTTTCACAGATGTTCTGCAACTTAAATCTTATAATTAGGACTGAGTTTTCTAGATCCATATAAGAAAACTTGCTCAAGCAGTTGCATAAGCCTTATTGTTATTTGCTATTTTATTTTATTTTTATTTTTATTTTTTATTTATTTATTTTTATTTATTTTTAATATATTTTATTGATTTTGTACAGAGAGGAAGGGAGAGGGATAGAGAGCTAGAAACATCGATGAGAGAGAGTCATCGATCAGCTGCCTCTTGCACACCTCCTACTGGGGATATGCCCGCAACCAAGGTACATGCCCTTGACCAGAATCAAACCCGGGACCCTTCAGTCCCCAAGCCGACGCTCTATCCATTGAGCCAAACCGGTCTTGGCATCATTTGCTATTTTATTTTATTTTTATTATATTTATTTATTTATTTATTTATTTATTTTGATGATTTGTTTTTTGCCCCCCTCCCTCCCTCCCATACATACCTTCCCTCCCCAGAGTTTTATGTCCATTGGTTGTACTTATGTCATTTGCTATTTTAGATTTCTTCTTTCATACATTGGTTTCTTAGTTTCTTTAATGAACCAAGAAGTAATTTTATTCTGAAACATAAACAATGGTACATAAAAATATAAACAGTTGCTGAAACCGGTTTGGCTCAGTGGATAGAGCGTCGGCTTGGGGACTGAAGGGACCCGGGTTCGATTCTGGTCAAGGGCATGTACCTTGGTTGCGGGCATATCCCCTGCAAGAGGCAGTTGATCGATGACTCTCTCTCATCGATGTTTCTAGCTCTCTATCTCTCTCCCTTCCTCTCTGTAAAAAATCAATAAAATACATTAGAAAAAAAAAAAAAAAGAAAGGTGATATTTGGCTGACAAAATCATTATTAAAAAAAAAAAAAAAATATATATATATATATATATATATATATATATATATATAAACAGTTGAACTTGAGAGAAGATGAGTCATCTAACTTAAAATCTTTCTATTTTCCCATCAACTTATGTACTTTACATTTCTTTCATTTCCTTATTATCTTGGGTATATCTATAATAATAAAAGTATAATATGCTAATTAGATCAGATGTCCTTCTGGACTATCTTCTGGATGAAGCTGGGGCCGCGAGGGAAGCCTGGGTCTTGGGTGCCAGAGGGAAGCCAGTGCCGGCAGGTGGGGGAAGGAAGGCCTACTCTCGCATGAATTTCATGCATCAGGCCTCTAGTAGTATATAAACTGGATATTCAGTCTCTTGGTCCTATCCCAGATTGAATACACTCTGATGATCCTTAATAGTGTTTGTATGACAGGGCATAACAAGGAAGGCCTATCTGTTTACTTCATACCGGTAAGTATAAGGTCTCTTAAACTAAATGGTATATTTTGTAGTTTCATAAATAGCCAAGGTTGTTTCTTCATATTTCCTTCCCAGGGTTTCTACGTGTAGGTCACATTCCATTGAATCTAGGAAAATACCATAGCCATTTCTGGTATTATCTTGTCAATCTTAGTCAGTTAACTTGTGGTCATCAGCTTCTGAATTTCTTTCCACCTTCAGATATCCTACCTTAGTGGATAATGTTAGAGGCCGGATTGCATCACCACTTTGTGGAACAGGAAACTGTCCTCCTCTCTATCTAAAAATACTTCCATTGAGACAGGAATCATTATATTTCTCTTCATAGATCCATAATTTTAATTATCCATGTTTTGTGGTTTTCTTAAAATGTACCAATCTTAATATCTCCGGAAGTGCCATTGTCCGTTTCTGTTTTTGTTTTTAAACTCAGCTGTGTTTTTTATTCTTTTTGTTAATCCTCACTGGAGGATATTTTTTCCATTGATTTTTAGAGAGAATGAGAGAGAAGAGGAAGAGAGGGAGGGAAAGAGAGAGAGAAAGAGAAAGACATCAAATGTGAGTGAGACACACCGGTTGGCTGCCTCCTGCACAAGCCCCACTGGAGCTGGGGATGAAGCCCACCACTGAAGTATGTGCCCTTGACTGGGAGTCAATCAAACCTGCAACCCTTCTGTCTGTGGGCCAGTACTCTAACCACTGAGAAAACCCAGCCAGGGCAAAAACTTAACTCTTTTTTTTAAAAAAAAAATATATATTTATTGATTTTTTACAGAGAGGAAGAGAGAGGGATAGAGAGTTAGAAATATTGATGATAGAGAAACATGGGTCAGCTGCCTCTTGCACACCCCCTATTGGGGATGTGCCTGTAACCAAGGTACATGCCCTTGATCAGAATCGAACCTGGGACCTTTCAGTCCACAGGTGGATGCTCTATCCATTGAGCCAAACCAATTTCGGCAAAACTTAACTCTTTATTGCTATGTTTATTTCCTTCCTTGTTCCTTTTTGGAAAAAGCCTATAGATTAATATCTCATTATCACCACAAATCAAGAAACTATGCCATTAAGTCTGCATTAAAAAAGGAATATTAAGCTCTTCAACTAAATATGCAGGTAGCATCTGAATTTCTATTTAATTAAAGAATGCCTCCACAGCTAGGAAGTAAACAGAGAAAAAAGATCCAAATCACAAAAGCTTTACATTTTTTAGGTTGCAAAGAAAAAATATTTTATTCATATAATTTTTTAAAAAATTTTATTGATTTTTTACAGAGAGGAAGGGAGAAAGATAGAAAGCTAGAAACGTCAATGAGAGAGAAACATCAACCAGCCGCCTCTTGCACACCCCCTACCAGGGATGTGCTCGCAACCAACATACATGCCCCTGACCGGAATCGAACCTGGGACCTTTCAGTCTACAGACCTACACTCTACCACTGAACCAAACTGGTTTCGGCATTTATTCATATAATTTTTAATTAGTAATTTTGCTTTATCATTTGCTTTAAAATAATCTAAGTTTTTATAGTCTATATCATCTAATTCTCACATCTACTTTGCAAGAAAAGCAGTCCAGCATTATTTTTTCTATTTTATACATGATGTACGAAGGATTTATAAGTTGAATTGATTTACCCAAGATCACTCAGCCAATAAGTGCTAGAGGCAGATCTTTTTTTTTTTTTTAATATATATATTTATTGATTTTTGTACAGAGAGGAAGGGAGTTAGAAACATCAATGAGAGAGAATCATTGATCAGCTGCATCTTGCACACCCCCTACTGGGGATATGCCCACAACCAAGGTACATGCCCTTGACCGGAATCGAACCCGGGGCCCTTCAGTCCCCAAGCCAACGCTCTATCCATTGAGCCAAACTGGTCCCTGTAAGGCAGATCTTCTTAATGCCCAATCTAGTCCTTTTTCTATAATATTATATTACTGTCATTACTACTGCCAGCTCCACAACCCCCTTTACTAATGGGTAAAATGAAGCCCAGTGACTGAGGTTCTAAGGTCACCCGAAGCGATGTGGGGGTAGGAGCGGCTGCTCACTAAGTCATCTGCCTCACTGCTTGGCCATGGCCATATTTCCTGTAAGACCTGCATCACCAATGATCACAGGAGTTTAGGAGGCAGTGCATTTCATTGGGCCCAGAAGTATATGGTCTCAGAGACAGTTGTCCGGGTTTCTAATAAGCTACTTGTGCCTTTTATTGCCTTCCAGAAAATTGTGACAAAGCTATTTTTCATCAGATAATTTTTTAAACTTTTTATTTGACTAGTTTATTTTCATGTTATGTCTCTGCTTTATTTTTTTTTCTTTAATTCATTTTTCTGCTTATCTAATTCTTTTATCTTAAGTTAAAAAGAAAAATACCTCCTGGGGCCTGTCAGTGGCATTCATTGATATAATTCATGTACACTGGTAACTAGAAATGGTTAAACATTGTGCTAAAGTTCACTGAGTACCTTTAGCTATACTATTTGTTAATAAGTATGTATAAGTAAAATCCTGAGATGATGACTTTGAAGCCAAGGTAAGAAGACTGTGTGGGACAGGGGTTAGTGATAGGAGAATACTCCTTAGAAGAGCACAGCTTTCCTGGAAGGACATACCAGAATTTCCTGGCAACAATGTGTATTTTTTAAAACATATTCTTTATGTTTTATATTTTGTTTCTTTATTTGACAGAAACTGTAGAATACAAAAGCTGATGAGATTTTATATTCCGTAGCTAATGTGGCTACATAGAAAATGCAATGATTGTAGGAGGCATGGATTTTAAGTTTTGATGAGCACTGCTCTAAAATTCAGTCTAAGACATTTGTTTATCCATTCATTCGACAAATGTTTATTAACTACCTTCTATGTACCAGGTACTCTTCTGTGTGCTAGAGACAGAACATTAAACAAGATAGACAAAATTCCTAGTTATGGAATGTAAACAAAGGGTCTCTTTAAAATAATCTCAAACAATGCAAATCTCATTGCCAGGAATAGAATAAAACGTAACAACGTGAAAGAGAAGTGAGAGGTGAGGAAGTCCTCCAGCCCCTGGAACAGTCAAGGAAGCCTCTCTAAGGAGGTGGCTTTTGATCTGAGACATGATCAATGAAAAGTCAGCCATACAAAAATCCTGGGGTCATCTTTCACAAAGCAGCCGGAATTGGGAACAAGCTAAACATGTTTGCAGAACTGAACAAAAGCCAGTGTGGCTGGGCAGGAAGAGAGAGATTGAGACAAGAGGATGTCAGACAGATAGGCAGTGTTCACATCATATAGGCCTTGCAGATCACAGCAAAGCATTTGGACTTTTTTCTGAATGTGCTGTGAGCCTGTTGGGGGATTTTATGTAGGGGGTTGATATAATGTTATTTACATCTAAATCATTTGCCTGCACTATGGGCAACAATGGAAACAGATTCATTAAGAGACTATTACAAAAACCTACGTGAGAGGTGATGGTAGCATGAACAAATAGTTGAGATATTTTTTGGAGATGTTACTGAAAATAGTTGGTGGTGAATTGGATTGGGGATTGGGCAGGCACATTGAGAGAAAAAAAGTAATGAAAGGCACTTCTGTGTTTCTGTTCTGAGCAAGTAACTGGACAGAAATTAGACCCATACATTGAGATGGAAAAGAGCAGATTTAGGATGTGGGGATGACAGGTAGTCAAGTAATCTGTTTTTACATAATAAGTTTGAGTTAAGTGGGACACTGAGCATTGATATCAACATAGAGATGATGAATACTCATTTGATTTACTTACTACTTGGTGGTTACTACATAGCCAATTTATGAACCTAATGCAAGAGTGGCTATTGCTTCTTTTTCCATCACTTTCTCTCCAAGAATTGATATGCAGTAATTATAATTGCTTCTGGAACCCAACATAGGTTCCTGATTCACCTCTACTAGTTTGGTACATTGATTGCCCATTCCAGGTCTTTGTGCTCTCCACTGATGGCGGTGATTTAGCCATTTGAAAACCATGATTGCGTTTGTTGTTCACAGGAGAATTTTATATTACAAGGCATTCTAATCTCTCAGAAATCCATGTTGCTTTTCATCTTTGTGTGGATGACAATGTGAAATCTGGAAACATCACTGCTCGCGATCCTGCCATTATGGGGCTCCGAAACATACTCAAGGTTTGCTGCACCCACGACATCACAACAATAAGTATTCCTCTCTTGCTCGTGCATGATATGTCAGAGGTGAGCATATAGAAAAACGCTGTAATTGTATGAATATATAACCTTCCGTATTGTGTGCTAACAATAGTCACTTTACATTTTAAAAGCACTTTTTTTTTTTAACTAATGGACATTTTTATCTCCTATCTGGTTGATAGGATTGAGTAGCATAAAATACAAAACAGTGCATAATTCTTAACCATTTTCAAAGAATTATAGCATTATTCTATTGAAGGTAACTAGAAAATAAAAATAAAAATCATTAGATTTTTCTCCCTCCTTTTTCTCCTCTGTTTTGGTCTTAAAAATTATTTAGCATTAGATTTGCCTCCACATTTATATTTGGCTTAGGCTACCATTAAACTTAGTTTGCCTTCTCTGAGACTACACTAATAGGCAAGGGACAGGAAGAATCCAGTTTCATTTTAACATTTTGTCAAGGATGATCTTTGGATAATACTGTAGTGACTTCTATAAGTAAAACGTGGTATAGTCATGCACTTATTTTATTAAATACTATACTTTATATTTTACATTTTAAAAAATCTCTTTCCATGACTGTTTGCTTTCTCTCTTGCTCTCTTCCCTCACCCACATAAAAACTGGCTACAGGGGCTAAGTTGTAGAAATAATGCAAGGACTAAAAATTAAATTTCACATGGTCTGGAGGAACAAAACAGCCTCAAAACAAATGGATGCAGGCATGTCCTTCTGGGAGAGCCAGGGGTCAACCTGGGCCCATGTCAGCAACCTGGTGCCTGCCTGTGTTGAGGTGACCTTTTTTTTTTTTTTTAAGGAAAATGGCTAATTGGTAAGTGCAGATTGTGAATGTCAGGAAGGAAGTTTGACCATTGATTATTAGAAGTTATTTACTAAAATAAAAGATGTGTATTAATGCTTATGGTAAAGTATGTAAAATATTTTATGTTTTGCTTTTTAGAGTGACTGAGCCTCCACTTAGACTGATTATAAGAGACCTCATTTTTAAATGCAATACCCTATGTAAACACACACACACACACAAATCATTGCCATATAAGGCAAGATGATTTTCCACTTATAGTCCATTTGTATTTTCACCAGACACATTATCATTTTGATTAAGAGAATTCTGGCTCTATACTGAAAGTTGCCTCATACTTTCTGACCTCTCATTCCATTCACTTCTGTAGCCTGTCATACCTAATATGGTATCAGGAGATTGACATCAACATGTTTTCCCCCCACTGTAGCTTTATAAAGTCTTAATTCCATCAGGAATTTTTTAGCCATTGTTAGGTTATCATCACTAATTAGTCCATATTAAACTAGCTCTTGGGGAATAACAAAGAAAGTTCGTAATGAATTCCAGCCACAAGAAAACATTCATACATTCCTGCAGCTGGGCTCCTGGTTAACCAGTTTATAAAAATGGTCATATGTAGGTGGGAAACAACCTCAAAGCAGTGTTTCCAAAAGTCACTAAGTTCGGATTTACTTCAGACATCTGATACTACCAGCATTCCCTCTCCCACGAGGTTACAAAAGTTACATGTTTTAAATCGGGACAGCCAGCTGCAGAACATTAAGTTTGTTTCCAAAGTGTCCATTTTAATTCACAAAAGTATATTGGGCCATGATCTTACCATTTGTTGTATTTAAATATCCATTCAGGTCAAGAAGTTTATTCTATAAATTCAGACAACACTACACAGGATATAGCGGTAATATTTGTCTTAGGTTTCCTGCATTTTCAGGTATTGTTTTCTTTCTCTAACAGAATTGCTAGACACTCAGTTGCCACATTTTAATGTGTGCGTGATGGTACTATCTAGAACAGACTATAGACTATAGTAAATAAAAAGAGCTGTAGAAATTAATTGTAGTGTGTTGTTGTTGTTTTTAACAAAGGAAACAATAGTATGTCGATAAGAAGAAAGATATACTGATATTACTAGTTTTATCTGTGTAGATCTTTGTGATCTAAAGATACTGTCATCCTGGAGTCAGTATAACCTGATAGATGTGGAATGAACCTGCAAGTCAAGAATCCTACATTTTTTTTTCTTTTTAATTGAATTCAGAAGGGAGAGATAGAAACATCAGTGATGAAAGAAAATCAATTATCAGCCTTCTCCTGCACTCCCCCTACTGAGAATCAAGCCCACAACCTGGGCATGTGCCCTTGACCAGAATCAAACCTGGGACCTTTCAGTCAGCAGGCCGATGCTCTATCCACTGAGCAAACAGGCTGACTTTGTTTTATTTTTACTATTAATTTGTTGAATAATCTGGGACGTAGGGATTTTAATTATAATTATTGTGGTTGGTGAAGAGGTTGTTTGTTTTTAACTTTTTGTTACAGTGTAATGTACATAGAAAAATACATATATCCTAAATATATAGCTCAAATTTTCACAAACTGAACACCAATGTAACAAATACCCAGATCATTGAACAGAACATTACCAGCACCCAGACGCCACCCTCATGTTCTCTTCCAATCATGTGAACCACAGTCCCTCCAAAAAGGTAAACACAACTTTCACTTTGAAAAGCAGAAATTAGTTAGGTGTGTTTTTATAATAATATAAGCAGAATGAATTATATAGTACATACTCCTTATCTGACTTCTATCACCCAATCTTATGTTTATGAAATTTATTTATATTACCACTTGTGTAGTGGATAGAGCATCGGCCTGTGGACTAAAGGGTCCCGGGTTCGATTCCAGCCCAAGGTTGTGGGCTCGATCCCTAGTATGGGGCATGCAGGAGGCAGCTGATCAGTGAGGCAACTGATCAATGATTCTATCTTATCAGTGATGTTTCTATCTCTCTCTCCTCCCTTCCTCCCTGAAATCAATATATTACTACTTGTGGTTGTAGACTTCATCCTCATTGTTATATGTCATTCCATTGTGAATTGTAAGCACAGAGCCTACAACTTTACTATTACTGTTTTTCTATTTTTGGATATTTGGATAGTTTCCAGGCTTTGATTATTATGACATATATGTTGCTGTGAACATTCCATACATACATGTTGGCATTTCTGTTGGGCATATACTTAGGGATGAAATTGTTAGGTCTCAGGGTATGCATATGTTCCACTTTGTTAGATACAATCAAATACCTCCTCAGAGTGGTTGTAATCTGCCATTGCTTTTGAATATGAAAAGTGAGAAAGCCAGAGTAGTTCTAATACCTTCTGATAATGACTGTGGAACAGATTAATACAAGTATTTCAGGTACCTCAGTGCCACATATTGGGGAGTAAAGAATAGTTTTGCAATTTCCTTCCTGTTCAAAAACTCATGAAATAATTCTGATATCTTACTTCCAAGACATACAATGAAGACCTGTATAACATCTAAAGCATAGTAACCTCTGCAGTTAGCCTTATCCTAATCAGAAGATTCAAGTTGAGTCATCAAGGTATGGCCATTAACTTTAGACAGTACTGTCTGCAGTTTAATCAGAATTGACATTATAATTTCACAAATTTAGGATTTATTCTGTGTGTTCAGACCCCATTTATCATCTAAAGTATAACCATAGCGCCGAAACCAGTTTGGCTCAATGGATAGTGCGTTGGCTTGGGGACTGAAGGACCCGGGTTCGATTCCGGTCAAGGGCATGTACCTTGGTTGTGGGCATATCCCCAGTAGGGGGTGTGCAGGAGGCAGCTGATCGATGACTCTCTCTCATCGATGTTTCTAGCTCTCTATCTCTCTCCCTTCCTCTCTGTACAAAAATCAATAAAATATATATTAAAAATAAATAAATAAATAAATAAATAATAAAGTATAGCCATAGGGCCCAGTTTTCTGCCTCAGTTCCAAAGTCTGAGGTGTTTCACATGATCCATTCAGCTTTTTCAATGTATTTGTTTTTTTAAAATATGTTGTTACTAGAGTCCCAATGCACAACATTCGTGTACAGGGTGGGGGGTGTGGGGGGAAGGTATCCCTCAATTGGCCTGCACCCTCTCTAATCTGGGACCCCTCGGGGGATGTCTGACTGCTGGTTTAGGCCTGATACTGCAGGGGTCAGACAGTCGAACATCCCTCTTACAATCTGGGACTGTTGGCTCCTAACCACTCACCTGCCTGCCTGTCTGATTGCCCCTAACTGCTTCTGCCTGCCAATCTGATAGCTCCCTAACTGGTCCCCTGCCGACCCAGTGGCCCACAACTGCCTTCCCCTGCTGGCCCAATCACCCACAACTGCTCTTCCCTACTGGCCTGATGGCCCACAGCTGCCCTCTTCTGCTAACCTGATTGCTCCCAATTACCCTCCCCTACCATCCAGATCGCCCCTAACTGCCCTCCCCTGCTGGCCCAGTCGCCCCCAATGCCCTCCCCTTCTGGCTCGATCATCCAAAACTGCCCTTCCCTGCCATGACCCTCATCCTCCACTGCCATGACCTGCATCCTCCACCGGGACTGGCCTCCTCTACACTATGTAGAGCTGAGGGACTTCAATACGCAGAGCGGCCACCAGACCCTGCCTCCACTGTGCATGTGCCATTTTGTGGTGGCTATCTTGTGACAACCATCTTGGACAATGTCGCGCGAGGGCCACCTAGGCTTTTATTAATATGGATTGATTTCAGAGAGGAAGGGAGAGAAACATCAATGATGAGAGAGAATTATTGATCAGCTGCCTCCTGCTGGGGACTGAGCCCAAAACCCAAGCATGTGCCCTTTACTAGAATCAAACCGGGGACCCTTCATTACACAGGCTGACACTCTATCCACTGAGCCCAACCAGCTAGGGCATCATTGTATTTCTTTCACAGTGCATTCTCACAGGTGTGACAGTAATGCCATGATAAAAACTTTATATACTCTTACCTAGCCCAACCAGCTAGGGCATCATTGTATTTCTTTCACAGTGCATTCTCACAGGTGTGACAGTAATGCCATGATAAAAACTTTATATACTCTTACTTTTTGCCATGATAAAAACTTTATATACTCTTACCTAGCTCACTATGTTATATATCCCATCCTATCTAATAAAATGGTGATGTGCAAA